TGCATGTGAATTGTTAGTGTCAGTCAAGCTTAAAGCCAGATTGAGCTGTACCCTGAGGAGACTGTCAAGCAGTCAACCACAGCACAATTTCCCGTAGCTTAATTTTGGGCAGTTCCAGTATTTAAAGTGCAATATTTTGCATAGTATAAATGCTTTTCTGCCTCAGTGCTTAACTAATTTGGATCAAATGTGAGACCAACTTCTGAAAATTGTTTGATTTGATGTTTGAGAAAAGAATGTACATTGTGATGTGAACATACTCATTATAGCTACAAGTTAGGCAAACCTGTATCTAAAATAAAAATTTAGGATAGAGAGTAAGTAGTCATTACAATATATTTACCTGTAACCATTACATCAGATATAGCTTTTGCTATGTCTAAGATGTAACCATTTGAGATCAGTTTTTTCCAAGTGCCTTTTATTTGTACTTGGAAGTTAGAATCTCCATCCTATCAGTGTCAACAATTTCAACTAGGATACCCCAAAAATCTGATTCAAAGTTGGCCGCCTTTTACTGCTGCTTTTTGTATCTCTGCTTCTGTCTCCTTGAACCCCAGTCAGCCTCTGCAGATGGCCGCTCACTCTGAGCCTGGTTCTGCAGGAGGTTTCTTCCTGTTAAAAGGGAGTTTTTCCTCTCCAATGTCACTACAAGTGAGGGATTTCATCCGAGTCAATGAGTCGATGCAATCAACTGGTTTTCCTTAGATAGAAAAACTTTGAATCAATTTCACTGTATGATCTGGTGAGCTGTAGTGCCTTGAGATGACATGTGTGGCGCTATATAAATAAACTGAATTGAATTGAAATTAACAGCACCATATCTGTCTTCCTTTGTAGTGTTCCTTTGTATTAAGTGTTTTGTGAAAGATGAAACGATTCCATTGAGGTGTTTTCCTTCCATGTCTACCAAACTGTGATGTGGCCCCTTTTTGAAGACAGCTCAGAGAGGCTAGTTCGTAAAGGTACTCACATTTCCTTTAGTCTAGTGCATGTTTGTTGAAAAGAGTAGAAAAAAATTGAACTACAAGACACTCACTTTTATTGATCTCAGAGTCCCAATAGTACAAAAAGAAAACTCATTTTTGCTGTCATTTTTTAAAAAGTTAAAATGCAAAATTGTTATCGGGGTCATGGAATATAGCACAAACAGCTGACATAAACTGCTTGTATAAAAAAAATTAAAAAAAATATCCAATTTCATATCAGTTGGCAAGCCAAAAAAGTTAATTGTTTAAGCTAAAATGAATGTTATTTCAGTTTGTTTTAGTTTTATTAAAGAACAATACAAGTTATAGTTTTTCATTTTTGGGTCAAGTAGTTCGTATAGTCTAAATCCTATTAAATTCTGCCTCATATCAGCTATCAAAACCATGAACACAATATTAGTCGTACAAGCATATGAATACTTGTCCTACTTATTTGATGGGGCATTGCTTGTAATCTTTATGAGGTGGTTGCCCAAATGCTTCCCATGCCTAACTAATCACTAGGGCCTTTTCAGTTTTCTCAAAAATATGATGTTTTGAGGAGCCTACCATTGATTCTATTTAAATCTGATGTCTTCAAGCAGAAAACACACAAAAAAAAATCATTAGACTTTCAAATGAACCCTCTCATAGGAGGTGGGTGCTCTGATGAGAGTGTGTCAAGTTCAAAGAGTCCAGGTCTCTGCTTCCATGAGGACCAAAACACCAAACTAAGGAGATCTGAGACAAGGCTATTCCTTTTTATTATTATTGTTTTCCAGCTTTTATTGTCATTACACTGTCAAACAAGTCAGAACAACGAAATTAAATCTCTGGAGAGATCCATCCTACCGCATAATGGGAGCAGTGGGTTGCCATTATGCAGCCCCCTTTGAAGTGGGGTTGAATTTATGAGCACCAGCACACACTACATGGTAAAGCGTCTTCTCAGAAATATACTTGTTAATGAAAGGACTCTTAATAAAATAGGATTGCTCATAATATTATTTATTAACTGTGACTTGACTTTAATCACATTAGATTATGAGATGTAATTTACCTATGGGTGACAAAGAGGAAATCCTTTTAACTAGTTTTTACTGATAAATCTGGTTAACAAATGTAATACCATTCTTTTTAGAATACTGTAAAATTTATAATCTAGAATGTTTACTGGATCCAACACAGCTGAAACCCAGATCCTGTAGGTTTTTTTGACATGGTCTTATCTTCTGCAGACCAATATATTTTTGGCCAAAGTGTTAGGCAGAG